CAAAGTTCATGATGGCCGCGGGAAAAGGGTTCAATGCTGAGTCGGTTCAATAAGCTGCTGAGCCAAGGGCTTGAGAAGGAGCAAGAGGTTCAAGATGATCTTCAATCTCCCAACGACAGAAGACCTGAAAAATTTCTCGCATGGGGCCGCATCAAGACTGAGATTCGGTATCCCCATTCAAGGGTCCAAACTCTTAACGCTCAAAACAGACACCTTTGGTTAGAGATGTTCTGTGATGACGAAGGGATCATAGGGGTTCCCTCTTCAGAAGGCGCTCCTCCCCTACGGCACTTTCCCAAAAAATGATGGCACCATGTCAGTGATGACTGACACTTATGACGTTGCAGGAAGAGCGAATTGCTGGCAAACATGCAAAAAAAGTTCAAGAATGCTATGTGCCCGCGCCTTTCCAGCACGCTCGGCAGAAATTGGTCTCCCGCCTTTGGGCCCGTGGTTCCAGCAAGCTTCAAAGTCAGTGGTGCCAGTACCAGTTGCAGGACGAATTCTTGTGATTTTCCCTATTATCACTGCAGCCCCGGGGCTACATGGCAGTTGATCAAAATTCCTGTTCCCACAATGGTCACTATAGAAAATGTTTTCCCTCATTTGCCCTTATGGACCTATAGGAACCAATATGTTTTTCCCAAAGGACCTTCTGATCAACCCTCACATCACCATGAGGCTCCAGCCGGTAGAATTTCGTTGATGAGGCCACAGCGATGCATCTCCTGATCCCGTCTGTAGAAAGCAATAGAACGAAGTTATAATCACCCTGCTCTGGACAAAAATAGCTGGCAACCAATCATGATAGTAGCGACGGCTTGCAGCAATCTAGCAGAAGTTTTCTGCACAGCGTGGATGGCAGTGATGAACATTTGGATAGTCCCAATCGTGGTGGTGCATCTTGCACCACCTGGGTGTTTCTCCGAATGGCCCTACAAAATCTTTTAAGTAGATCCGAATACCCGTACAATGCTGCATTCCTGGGGTGCCGAAGGCCACCCGTCTGCTGATAAATCCCCATCTTGGTTCAGAAAGACGATGATACGTCCTCGGGGGTCTTCTTCTTGGAGAAGAGTACCATCTCAGATGCTACAGCAGGTCCTGGGCCACGCCATGAAGTTGGATCCCCATATAGACCGATGCAAACCCCTATATGGTTCCTTTTGATCTGATCTTAGGGATGTATTTCTCGGGCAACACCGGCCACACCTGCTGAAGCGGCTTCTAGCCCTTAACTGGTTTGGCAGGAGCCTGGCTGAAAGCCTCGGAAAACAAGCCTGGCCAAGCAACACAGTCTTGGGCTCAGGAAAGCCCTGATTAACCCCGGCAGTTACATCAATATCTGAAGAGAGCCAAAACCAGAATATCCCGCTTCATCCCTCAGCCCGAAAATCCGCCAAAGCTTCCAACTCGCTGCGCGAGGGTGATGGAGGAAGTGATCTCCGGTACTACTCCAAATCGTGCAAAAGGCGTCCAGAAAAAGGCCGAAGCTGCCGAGTAAATGATGTCGCCAAGCCTCAGTGGGTTCTTTGAGCGAGCCCAGGCAGGCAGCTGCTTTGGAACCACAAATCTAAGATCCTGGCATCAACGTCGTAAATCCTCTTGCTTGCTTCTTGTTACTTGCTAGATGATGAGGGACTTTACGTTTGAGGTTAGCACAGAACTTACTCTGGTGAATTTTATGAAGACCCAGTCCTTCATTCCGTGCTAAAAAGATGCAAGTTGGTACAGTAGATCAGGGCTGAGGGGGGAATGAATGCCAAAACAATCTTCAAAAGTAGAACTTGCCAAGCCCCTAAACTCATCAGTCTACCTTAACCCATGCACTCATAGCTTTGGCTTTCATTCGGGTTACGCTGGGCAAAACACCCCTAGAACTTATGAACTGCCTATATTGCCTCCAGATATAGTCCCCCTTAAGTAGATAGAATATGGGGTGTATAGGGATCTTATTATAGTATACCCAAAGCCATATTCTATCTACTTAAGGGGGGCTATATCCCTAAAGCTTCTATAGGGGCCCCATGTTGAGAAACTTCCAGATCAGTCCTTCGCCGATAGCGGGTCCATTTACCGCCATCACCAAAGGCTTTGAGAAATTGATCCAGGCATCCTCGGAAGCATGGATGATAAGGTTTATGCACCTGGACCCCTAGGTTAGGTAGCATAACTTATTGGCTCTTAGTAGGGGAAAAGGGAATACATGATATTCAGGGATTATATAGGAATTATATTCCCTTGTATTATTAAGAACCAGCTAAATAATAGCTCTTAGGGGCTTGGGGCCATTCTTTCACATACTGTTGCAGTGCAGGTAGGGCTTGCAGCAAAATGTAGGGTTATATTGGGGTACATCGGGTTGTATAGGGGTTATAGAAGGGTATGTTGGGTCTTGTAGGGGCACATGGAGATGTACAGTGAGATTCTGACTTGGGATACCATTCAATGGGTGGCATTTCGGGGGAGCCAAAATTGTCCATGACTAGGTTCCCCTGGACACAAATAGGCGGCATGATGGCAATAGTTGTCCCAAAGTGTCACGTCGATTGAGATACTACAAAACCGATCATGCTAATGCATTTTGATTTGACTGTATATTCGGCTTCAAGCACACACACACCGAAAATTCAAGTCGTTAGTGCTTTGAGTCCAGTCTGTAATGCGCTGTAAGCGGCTTTTGTGGGTGGGCTTTGAAACAAATGCTTTTGCAAGAGCGAAACGGGCGGTTCCTCACGAAATGCGATTCGACTATCTTCTGAAAAATTACAAGGACGATGCTGAAAATCTTGCATGGCCCTAGTTACGACCCTTAAACCCTAGATAGTAGGTTCCATTTTTCCACTATGCCTTTCTAAGCCCTATACAACCCCAATATAACCCTATAACTGTTGAATTCGCCGGGGCATCCAACTTGTGGAGCTCTCGCCCCACCACAGCTGGCACGCCCGGCCCCGGGTGGCGGCCGGGCTATGAAGTGTGGCCCAAGAAAAACGAAACTCCATGACTACCCAAGGTTTGAGTGCTTGGGGGGAGGGGTCAGTGAGCATGTCTCCGCGTCCCCCAATCCAGTGTCTCCCCATTGTCGCGCATGTCTCAAGCAAAGGTGGCACCGGGGTCCTGCCTGGACATATCTGTCAACCCAAAGCACATCGGGTATTCCGAGGGCTTCACTACTATGTAAAGAGATGTGGTAGCTTCTCTACATACGGGATCCCTAATTCTGGGAAACCCTGGGAAACTGGCAGGACAGGCTACAGGGCTGTCCATGTCTCTTTCCTTCCTGGCTTGCATCAGAGGCGTGCACGCGATAAAGTTTACAAATAGTGTTACGTAGGATTTCTATAGGGTTTCAGGTTTAGGGTCTGAGGTTTGGGGTTTAGGGCTT